ATAATATAATGACATGGAGCAATCACGTCTCAGCATATTCGCATAGGCACTTATACATGTATAGCGCAATATATGTCGCAACTTATAAACAAATAAATCATGTATCAGCCAGTTTGTTGTTCCTACGAAATATTTAACGTACTACAAGTAAGATAAATACTGAATCTGTATGTTGTTATTTAAGATTAATTTTGATGAATAAACATGCCCAATTCTATCATCATATATGTTTGAAAAGCAAAATTCTTTTATTTACTTTAATAAATGAGAAAATATTTACATAAATTTATTAATTTTTGTTACTTAATATTAAATTTTTACATTCCCAAAAAAAAGAGAAGTTATATAATTTTAATTAAATGAAAACGTTTTTGTAACTTTAATAGATCAAGAAAATGAAAAGAAAATCGCAGAAAATGATAATTCATTTTTTTGTGGTTTAAGTTAAAATCACGAAATTTTATGCACCAAGATAAATTTTATTCTAATAAAGACCAGTTTATTATAAATTTAATAATTTATTTTAATCTTAACCAATAATACAAGGCTCAATAGATAAATAAAATCAGTAAAATAAAAGAGCTCCGAACTAAAACAAGACGTTTAATGCTATGAATTTAATGTAATGTACTATAATACAATAAATAATTTATCCTACGTTGATTTAGTTAGTCAAATATATTTCAATATATTTAATTTTAAAGGAGATTAAATTATTTGCGTGAGAGATTAAGTTATTTATAACAATTAAATTTGTTATTAATTACCTACTTGCTGATATCAATTAATTGGCACAGTATATACAACATTTAATAAGAAATCAGAATATCTCTGATCAATAAATATTAATATTATTCAAGCTGTAAAATTTTACAACAAATCAGTTTATGTGTAAACTGATTATGCTTTTAATCATTTGTAAATCGATAAGAAATCATTTTGAGCACAATTTTGTGTTAGAATTCCAGTTAATCTTTAAAGATTGCAATTAAATAATTTTAATTAATAAACATTAATTAAACTTAAACAATTATAATAACATTACAATAGTAAATTTAACGACCTATCGAAAAGTTTGAGAAAATAAAATTTATAGCGAGTTGTTCGAAAAATCGCAAAAAAAAATCCAAATTTTCTAAAAATTAAATTTAAATTTGCCTATAAATATATTACAAAATTGCCTATAAATTATTACAAAATACTTTTTAATAAATCTAAAAATCAACATTTTCAATTAATTTTTGAAAATAAATCGTAAGAATAATAGACAGAAATTGTTTTGTTCAAACTGCAAAATATTTTATACGAAATTAATTAATTATAAGAAATTAATAATTATTTCTGTCTTCAAATTAAAAATTATTTTCCGAGGTATATCAACTCTTGTCATATTATCTGTTAATACCTAACTCTCCGCAATGATAATTTTGAAGTAAATAAATGTTAAATTTAAATCTACATCTCTATACTTTTTCAGTTTTTTTTTTAAAAAACGCGCGTTCGCTTGTACAAACGGTTAAATTTGACGACAGACCGCTTTTACCGCTGAGAACTAGGAAATTACGGTTTAGCGAGTTGTCCGGAAAAGTAACGAACCAAAGTGTGATAACAAAGCGCTTCGCGTTGCATGGATGCATTTACAAAACGCACGCACAAAGCCAGTATTCGTTTGTATACTACTGCGTAATGATACTGGTTTCACAGCGTTCCTTCCATTTTCGCTCTCGTGCACGTGGCCGGCACACCAAAGAGGCGGGATCGAAGATAGCAATAATTAGTGGAACATGAATCGCTGAATTCCTGGTCGACGGATCGATAATACTCGCGACACATTGCAGTGTATGACAAGTGATTTACAGGCCAGCGTGGCAAAAATATCTGACAAAAGTGTTGGTGCGCATCGACATATTATGCGAAAGACTCGGGAAGCATAAATAAACTCCTTAAAAAACGGTCAGAAAACGATACTTCGAATCTCATATTTGAAAAGCGTGTCGCGATAAATTGCACTTTACAATATTAACCGTCCGAATGCCCGTTACTCTATCTCGCGTTATTAATGCAGGGAACCCGGAGTGTTGTTGAAATACACGATTCCTCGGATGGTCTTACGTCTTGCGGACCGACGCTTGAGACATTTTTAAAGCGTTCCGGTTACACCGACATAATAATGCGGGAGGATTTAACAGAAGGATTGCCTATCCCCCCTTGAAGGTGAACCTTCTATTCTTTTATATAACAATCTTCGCAAACGTTGAATTCGTCTCTCTTCGTAATTCATCATGAGTAATACGAAAGCGTTATTCACAGACTTGCAGCGTTTAAATCTTTATAAACTGGAACGCTCAAGTTGTGCCACGAATAAATTCTCGACAAGATTAATAAAGAGCATTGAAAATTATCTAGCGTAACGGCTAAACCATCGCATTATCGCTACCAAATCGTTCTGATTTACTACGATTTGACTGACAAAATCTCTACAATTGACGTCACCGAGCTCTATAGCCGCGGAAGTTTTTACAGAACCAACTTCGATCAGTCTTACGAATATCGAGCGAAACAATCGCCACTATAAACCACCTGTTACACGCGCATGCCAACTTTTTTATAATTTCATAAAGACGCAACTCAATTTACACACTTATTAAGCATTTTGCGTGCTTTATTAGCGCAATAATATGTTAAGACAAAACTTTAAGCTTCTCATTCATAAACGCAATCTTTTCTCCTGCAACTTCTCCTTCGTCAGAATATATGTATATACTCGCAATAAGCAGTGAACTAATTTTTCAAATAATAATTAATAATAATGTACACATGCCAGATACAATGCCCGATAAACAATGACCAAGTTAAAAAAAATGCTAATTGTCTAAATAAATGGTAAATACAGTTTTATTCTGTTCGGATATCCTTCATCGTACGTACAAAAAAAATTGCATATAATTACTTTACAAAGTGGAAGTTATTATTTCACGCGGACGTCTTATAGTGACATAATTACTGAGACGCAGAGTATTCCCTTGCAGAATTAGAATGTAAACGAAGTTAGAGAAACAGCAATAAAGTTAATGACACAACTGCTCGGAGATCGTTAAGAAATGAATCCCCGCGTATCACACTTTTTGTTCGGAACGACCTATCTCGTTTACGTAATTTCGAATATGGAACAATTTTGATCCTGGAACATTTCGCTCGGAAATGTCAAGTACAGCCTAAAACGAAATCGGACGATAAACGCGTCTCTTCCACGATGAAAAATACTTTCGCGAGGCGAGTCGAGAATTGCACTTTGATGCATCGGCATGGGAGAATTTCATCAATGTGGCAAGAGAAAAGAAGAGATTCTGTATCCACGCGATCTCTCTTTTTATATGTACGAATTAAATCGTGCAATCCCAAAATTTCACTATATTAAAAGAGTTACCATCGTATTATATATTATTATACTTAATCCAAATCTAAATTTGGATTCTTTTTTTAATCCAAGAAAATTACTGTTTCGTTCAGTCTCTATTATTATACTAGATGACTTGCATTCTCGTACTATGCAAAATTTCTAATTACAACACTTTTGCATTCGAAGTAGTATAACGATCGACATCTAACATTAATTCCTAATTTCACTAATTTATTTGTAAAGTTTTTATTTTGGACTTTTAATAATAATCTATAGGCAAATGTATCCATTTTGTTATACATTTGTTTAATTACCATTCTTATGTAGGTACACAGATATTCTATGCACAAAAGAGGAAGAGTTATCACGTACTATTTAATACGACACGTGTAACCGCGGATAGCAGTTTCGTTTATGATTCGAAAATAAAGCGCAACATCAAATATCTCTATGCTCTCTCGTAAACGTCATAAACAACTGAAGAGTAGCAAAAACGAACGCGACGGATGAGGGCAATAAAAATTCACTCGTCGAACGACTAGCTGCGAACAAATCAGAACGCGTTACAACCATAACACAACTGATTGTAAGCATCGAAAGTTCTGTTCACGCTAGCCTTCTCAATTAGATCCGCCAATTAATGTATAAAAAGCCATTAACTTCTAGGTTATAAATCCCGATTTCATTAATTCGTGAAGAATTTTATATACTTCCGTGTAGTATCATGTACTATAAGAACGTAATAGAGTGTTATCTTAAGTAGTATATGAGGAGGATGTCTTTATTGCATTATAGGAAGAGTGTTATCAATATCTTACATAAAAGGATAAAAGCCTGAGATATATATATATATATATA